ATATAGACAGTCTAACTGACGCTATTTACGAGCGGTTAGACTGCCAAAAAATCTTTGATATCAGACAGAGATAATAACCTACGGTTATTTTATTTTACCATCAATAATAATCGGCGGCTCGTCGGTGGTTTGGCCGCCAGAAACACCAGCGGTATTTGCGCCGTAATATTCTGACGGTTTACCTGCGATTTTTGACTCAGTAATTTCCGGCTGTTATAGCCACCGGAAACTGCCGGGAAAAATTATCGCTGGAAATATATTGCCGGCTTCTATTTCCTACGCGGTTTTGGACTCTGTAATATCCGACGGTTTTAAAACTGACATATTTTTTCAAAACCGCCAAAAAATTGACATACACCGCCGGAAACTGCCTATGGTAACTTACGATTTTCCTGTAGTGTATATTACCAATTGGCTAATAACCTATAAATCTCTAAATCAATATATAGCTTATCTTTTATTGAGACCAAGGCTTCATTCGGGACAACTTTTTTATTACTTTCTAAAGTATCTTTTTCGTGCAAAAATTTCTAATTCAAAAAAAAAAAAAAGTATCAGAATACTTCTTTAGAAAACAATAAAAAAATTGTCCCAAATGAAGCCGAAATCTAAACACCATGGTTTTAAAAAGCACTTAGTGGATTAGGTTGCTTTCCGTTACCAAGCAAGAATAAGATCAAAAGAGTATGGATTCTCCAACCTAAGGAGCTTGTTTGTCTTCCCCTAAAAGGCATTTGATCCACTCAATGGAAATCATAAGTGATGTTACAAATCCAGAAGTCTTTCGCTAATTAAGTAAGGCTATATCTAATAGATATTTAAGACCTATTTTGGGCACTCTTCATCATACTGTCGACTTAGGTTTCGTTTGAGAGATCTTTCCTATTGAGTTTTAAAGTAACTTTATTAAAAAAATTTGTTATAAAAAACTGATTCATAAAGCAATAAGAAAGCTGTCTCAAACGAAACCTTAAACCTACTATAGAATTATAAACTAAGAAAATTAAGTGTCGAAATCTTAAAAGAAAACTTAAAAAATCTTTACATATTTATATTCAAAGTTGTGAAAATTAGACTGATATAAAAATAAATGGAGAAATTCAAGATTTTATATTCGACTGAACTATAATAAATATTAAAATTATTTAAATATTATCTAACTGACATAATAGTGATGCAATAATATTGCAATATTACAAATATTTGATTAAAAATAAATTGAACTTATACATAAATAATTGAAGTATAAAGCAAATGAGGAGGAGAATCGCATTATTTCAAGTAGGGGTGTCAATTTCGGGTCACGGGTCGGGTTCGGGTTGAACCCGAAACTGACCTGGCACTATTCTGGTCAACCCGAACCCGACCCGCTTCGGGTCCGGGTCAACCCGACCCGACCCGAATGACCCGTTTCCAACAAGAAAATGGCTAATTTTCGGGTCAAAAACGGGTCAATCTCGGGTTGCCGGGTCAAAATAGGGTTTTCGGGTCACTTTCGGGTCAATTTCGGGTCAAAGGGTTAACCCGAACCCGACCCGATTTTTGAAACGGGTCGAAATGCTGAACCCGAACCCGACCCGTTTCGGGTTCGGGTTGACCCTAACCCGAAATTTTCGGGTCGGGTTCAGGTCGGGTTTTCGGATCGTGTCAAATATTGACACCCCTAATTTCGAGGAAATTGTGTTGGCGGATGTCCAACGATAAGAGAGGAATAAGATCACCTCAAGGAAAGAAATTATTCCGTGCGGAGTTCGGACGGGAAGTTCTCGTCCGGACTATGAGTGTATAATTTTTATACACAGTTTAGTTTAAACTGTGTACTCATTGTTCATATAAAGTAAGTACAGACACAAACTGGACGGGAACTTTCTGTCCGGACTCCTCATAGAATAGTTTCTCCTCAGATGGGGAAGATCATGGGCAAACGAAGTTGCATGCAAGGGAAAGCAGCTAATGTTGATTTCATTAATTTGAGGAAATGGAGTTGTGGTTTTTTTATATTAACTAGTTAGTTATTATATATTAATAAATTTTTTATATTTAAATTCTATGATAAAACTTTCTGGCCTTAGATCTTCAATCAACAGCGCTAATAGAATTAATTTGAATTAGCCTATTCTAGATAACACAGGCCAGTTCATGCAATTATTACATCCTCCGACCGGATGCAGAGGAACATCCGATTGTAGGAAAAATCCCGCCTATACCGAGGTGTACCGAGTTTTTTTTAAAAAACTCGGTACACCTCGGTATAGGCGGGGGTTTTGCCAAAAACTCGGTACACCTCGGTATAGGCGGGATTTTGTCTACAACTTCCTCTGCATCCTTACACCGGACGAAATAAAAGTTCGTTCATCAGTGCCCCAGTCAAACCAGGGCATTGTAGTTGATTTGATATAACACCGATTTTTAAGGCTATCCGAACTGGCCAATTGACAAGTACATGATTGAACCGACCAGTCCAATTCGATTTTCCATTTCTATTAAAAAAAAAATAGAACCACACCATAATGATTTAGTAGGGGTGTCGATTTCGGGTCACGGGTCGGTTCGGGTCGAACCCGAAATTGACGCAGCACTATTCGGGTCAACCCGAACCCAACCCATTTTTGAAAACAGGTCAGTTTTTCTGACCCGAACCGATCCGCTTCGGGTCCGGGTCAACCCGACACGACTCGAATGACCCGTTTCCAACAAAAAATTACTAGTTTTCGGGTAAAAAACTGGTCTATCTCATCTTTTTTGGGTAAAAAAAAAACGGGTCAAAATCGTGTTTTCGGGTCAACGGGTTAACCTGAATCCGACCCAATTTTTGAAACGAGTCGAAATGTTGAACCCGAACCATACCCATTTCGGGTTCGGGTTGGGTTCGAGTCGGGTTAGGGTCAACCCGAACCCGAAATGGGTCGGGTTCAGTTTCAACAAATATTGACACCCCTATGATTTCGATTCATTCCTCTTGATCCCAAGATTTAGCAAATAAACTCCCTCCCATCTCAACCAAACCCACCAACATCTGTCCTAATCATCCACAAAATCTTACCAAAGATTTCCTATTTACCATTGCCATAAATTAGCTCACAAAAATCTCCATAGCCGAACCAAACCCAAAGTCCCACCACATCAACAGAAGGCAACAACCGACCTCCCAAGACCGATCACTGCCGTCCATCCATCATCAAACGGTCAACAACCGAAACCATGGTCCCATCCAGCAATTATTCCCTCACCTCCATTCTCCTATCTGAAGCAAGCTTTTTTTCTAAACTACTATGCTCCTTTTTTCTTTTTCAAGCTTCACTTTTGCTCCACCTTTCACATTACAATACTCTCTAAACCTTAAAGCATCCACTTCAGCGCCATTATTGCGATCACAGCTCCTCTCCTCTCTATCTGACTTATTCATTTCTCCAACGTGATTCTAATCTATCTCTTTCTCTCTCTGTTTCTGGTTTTAAATGGGGAGAGAAGAAGAAACAGAGCGGATGGTTGAAGAGACGATGGAGAGAGGAGGAGAGGAAGCGTACGAGATTGTGGAGCAGATTGGGAGAGGAGCTTTTGGCTCTGCTTTTCTTGTGGTTCATAAGACAGAGAAGAAGAAGTAAGTTTTCCATTCATATTTTTACCTGTTCTATCTCTGCTGTAGTGTAGTAAAGGGAGCCATGGCTCTCTGTTTTCGATGCAGATATGTTATGAAGAAGATAAGGCTGTCGCAGCAGACGGAGAAGTTCCAGCGCACGGCTCATCAAGAGGTGGCATTGATAAAAACTGTTTCTTTACAATTTTCATTTTAATTTCCTTTTTGTTTTTTCTCTTTCAATTCATTCAAACCGAACAGAGCCATCATACAGTTCAATAAAATAAGGAATATTTTCACTTATTTTGTATGAAAATTAGGACGTTAAATTTAAGAAAAAAATGGGAATTTTTTTTTTTTGCAGTATTTACAGATTATAAACTTACTATTAGCATCTGACTATATCAAATAAAATAGTAGTCTAATAATTATTTAATTATTTATTAAAGTCTGTAGTCTGACTTTGACTTTGTTTGGACAACTTTTTACTGTTCTTTAAAACAGTTTTTTTAGTGCAATAAATTTTGGTAAAAAAAACTGTTTTAAAAAGAAATTAGAGAAGCCGTCAAACAATCAAATGAGCCTTACATTGATATTTTATTAAAACAATTTATATGAGAGAGAGATTATTTAATTTGCTAAATTAATAGGCAGGGAATACAATCTAGGGGAGTAAATGAGTTGTGTCAAGTTGAATATTTGCCTAATTAAGCTAAGATCTTTTAATTCTTACTATGCCCGAACTCAGCTCATTCAAAAATTATTAGGCACGAGCACGACTTGATTATTGAATATCATTTGGAAAGCTTGTGTTTTGCTCGACAAGGTTATGAGCCTAGTCAGGCTGAGCTCAAGCTCGAATTTGTAGCTCGATAAGCTCATCTCATGAGCTTGTTAACGAGTAGAGTTCTAATCGACTCAGCTGACTTGCACCTAAAATACAATCTAATCTAGCTTAACTCACTTTTAATGCATGCTTATTTTTTATACCCGGCAAATTCATTTTTTATTAAAAAAAACAGTATTCATTAGGCTCTATTTTGTTGAAGGAAGTCATGAAATACACATTCATTTAGCATTATAATTTTATATTCAGTATTTGATTGCAAGATAATTAATAGATAAATTAAGCTTCGTTTGGGACAATTTTTTTACTAAAGCATTTTTTGTATAAAATTTTCAAATTAAAAAAAAAAAATTGTGCTAAAAAAATACTTCATAAACAGTAAAAAAATTATCTCATATGAAGCCTAAATTTCAGTAGAAACAATATTATTTTTTTCACTTATAATTCTCTATTCAAATCTAGCTATAATGTGAAACAAAAAGCTGCTTAAAAATCCAAAAACACCCTCAACTTTTTATCAACCAAACAAAAAAAAAAAATGTATGACCTTTTTTTTTTTTTTTTGCAATAAAAAAATTGTCCCAAAGAAGCCATAATTGGAATTTTTTCTTTTAAAATAGTGGAAATATTAATCCATTTATGATTTTACAGACTCCTTAAAAGTAGGCGTTTCAATTAGATGATTTACATTCTCTGCGCATTATTATACTTTCCAACATCTAACTAACGATTTCAAAAGCTGTAGAACACAGAAACTGTGTATCAATAAGCGCTTCTCATTTGGTTGTTTTTTGAATGCTTTTGGGTCTTAGCGAAATTCTTCCATTACTTCATTATACTCTGTATGATAAAAATTTCTGAAGAAAGTCAAAAGATTTTTTTCTATAAATAACATCTCAAAGACAATCACATCAATTAGATTAACGAAGGAACAAATGCTTCTCTGGGAAATTTTCCGTCTGAAAAATGAGAAGATAAAGGATTCTCTGTAACTGTAAGGCATAGCTGATTTGTTCCATTCGAACAGGAAAAAACATCTCTAATCAGTGGAGGATGAATAGTGTGACGTCAATATTGGTGTTGCATTGTTCACCTACGCGATTTTTTTTGTCTCAATCGGATTTGCTGAAGAAATGCGTGAAAAATGAGAAAGACGGTTATCTTCACAGAAGCGCGCAAAATGGAGTTCTATTGGAGATGAATGATGACATTTTTGAGTTTCACTGCATTTTTTAATGAAAAATGAGATTTTCGGTTGGACATGCCCTAAAATCATCTGCAGCCGAAAACTTCATTTTACACTCTAAAATATAGTAATACTCTAAAATGTTGTAATTCATCTCCAACCGAACTTTATTTTTAACTTTAAAAAGTATATTCTTTTCTACAACCAGAAGAAATGAAAAAAAAATGGCGTACGTGAATAGTGCGACATCAATATTGAGACCGCACTGTTCACCTAGCATAAAATGGCACTGAATTTGGCATTTGGTTGGAGCTCTATGGCCATTGCAAACGCTCGCTTGGGGTTCGGTTCGAGACGCCCTAATGGAATTTCTTCATTATTTTGTAATTTTCCTTCTATTTCCATGGAATGCTAAGCACTTCTTTACCTCTCCAGCAGGGTTTCTACGTGTGCATTGTGACTACTTATTGTGAGGGAGGTGACATGTATGTAATGAGAACAAAAAATCCTTTTTCTTTTCAGCTATCTGCTTTCTCGTCACCATATTTAGGAATTGATGCAGGGCTGCCAAAATAAAGAAGGCAAGAGGATCACTCTTTTCTGAAGAGGTAAGAAGAGAGAAACTAAAATTTTGCAATACTGAACTCTACAAACCAATGAACCCACAACACATTTTCTTCTATGCTGTATTGAAACTGCAGAGAATATGCAAATGGCTGACCCAGCTGCTTCTAGCAGTTGATTATCTGCATTCAAATCGTGTTCTACATAGAGATCTTAAGGTAAATAACTGATATTGATCTCCTTTTATGGCCTATTTGTTAGCTTCTATATAAAAAATACATTTTAGCAAACAGTGGTGGAATCAGAGAGTGATTGAAGCTTCGTTTGGAACAGCTTTAGATCACTACTTTTTTCCTGCTTTCAAGATATTTTTGTTCTAAAAAGCAGCTTTAGGAAGCACTAAGAAAACAGTCCTAAATGAAGCCTAAGAGTCGCTCTCGCACATCATATATATGAGAAAATGTCAATATAAATTTATATTATAGAGTATACAAATGAAAGAATGACCAATTTCTATTTAATTTCAGTGCTCAAATATATTCCTCACAAAGGATGGTGATGTCCGGTTAGGTGAGTAGCTTTCCAGCTTTGTGTTTAGAGATATTTGGTCAGAATTCAGATCTACCAAACATTCAAATTTTACAGTTCAATGATGCCTATATATTTTTTATTTTCCTTGATGTTTGAAGGTGACTTTGGACTTGCAAAGTTGCTTCATTCAGAAGACCTCACTTCCTCGGTACTGGACAATCTCTTGGCTTGAACTTGTTGCATTGAATCTCTCAGTACATTATGATATTCTTCTTATAATATGTCTGATCTAATATTTCAGTTTTAAACAAAATATATATTTTTTTAAACTTTAGTTTCTGTTTAGATAACATTAAAATGATCTGATTTATAATGCTTGATTTATTTTTACGGCTCAATAAGCTTTCGAACCAAGCCAGGTTGAGCTCAAGTTAGGCTCGAATTAAAACTCGTGGCTCGATAAGCTCGACTCGTGAGCTCGTTAATGAATCTAGCTCGAGTTGGCTCAGCTCACTTACAACCCTATAAATCACTAATGGCCCGCCACAGTTGTCTATCAGTTATCAATAATTGTTGACCACTATTGTTGCCTGCAATCACAATCTTTTATAATTTACATAATAAACAAATTTTTATTTCTTGTTAAAGCATAAATTAAATAAAATAAAATAAGACAAAAACATTAAAAAAATAAATAAATAAAATAAAAGTAATCCTAAACCACTCTTTGGTGTACATTTTCATGAAACAACAGAAGGGACTAATAGAGTATGCTTAGTTTTAAAATTTTGATTCCTTTAAAATTAACATTTGCGAGCACCAAGTGCTCTCCACTAAAGGCTTAAGTTGCATGCTAAGCCTTCGTTTGTGATAGCTTTGTTACTACTTTCTAAAACATGAACATAAAACGGTCAAAAGTTGTACCAAAGGAATCCTAAATCTCATGTGTTCTACGAAGTACTAACACAAGGATAAAAAAAAGGTATTAATGTTGTGTTTCTTTTGCATCTGTGTCTATAATGCCTATTACATACATGAACTAAAATAGATCTTTGCATTCAAAACAACAATTAGTTGTTTGCTTACTGTTTCTTGTGATGTTTTCCAATTGTTCTATCACAACAAGATGAAGAGCTCTTGAATCCCTTTAAGCCAACACAAAACACTAATCTAGTTATGATATTGTGGTCTTAAATGTTATTTATTAGTGATTTCTGGTTGCTTAATCTCAAGATTGTAGGAACTCCAAACTATATGTGTCCTGAGATCCTGGCAGATATACCTTATGGCTATAAATCAGATATTTGGTCATTAGGTAACACTTTCACCATTAATTTGCTTCAAGTTTTTTCCTTGATGAGATTACCCATAACAATTCTCTTGAAACAAACTTCAGGTTGTTGTATTTTTGAAATTTCAGCACATCAAACAGCTTTCAGAGCTCCAGTAAGTATGCTTGTTCTTTCTTCTTCTTAGATTATTTGTTAGATTGCAGAAGAAGTGATCTAACTTTCCTTTGTTGTTATTGAAAATAACCAAACAGGACATGGCAGGACTGATAAACAAAATAAATAGATCATCTATATCTCCAATGCCAACCAAATACTCATCGTCACTGTGAGTTTCCTCATTAGAACAAATATATCCAAGGAAGAATCCAAAGCACTTGGCTGATGATTTTTTCTATGTGATAACAGTAAGAGATTGATCAAAAGCATGTTGAGAAAGAATCCAGAACATAGACCAACGGTAAGTTCTTATATAAACAGTACTAAAGCTCGAAAATAATGTCTACTTACAGCATTGAAGTTTTAGGCCGCAGAGCTGTTGAGGGATAACTACTTGCAGCCATATCTCGCTAAAGCCTGCAATCCTTCTTCATTCTTCCTTCCAATAAAGCCTACCATGAAAACATCGCCAGAGAAACACGGCAAAAGGCAAAGTGATGAAAAACCACTTTTTACAAAAGCCAGTAGAAGAAATGAGACAGATATAAGTTCTTCAGAGACGCCTGCGATGGAATTAGTACTAAGAACTCAAGATAAAACAACAAATAATGTCGAAATGGAGTCAACTCTTGTAGTGCCCATGCTTCCTGGCACGGAGCTAAAACAAAGGAAATCAAATAATGATCAGAAAATAATAGAAAATTTTGATTCCAAAGAGCAAAACAAGGCAGAAAAACTCCTGAGAAGAGGAGATGAAAGCTCAGATGGAGCTACTTTACCACATCTGCAAAGAACAAAGACTGAATTAGATGAGATGGGAGGGGTCACAGAAGAAGCATCATCAGCGAGCACACTAACTATTGTACACGCAGATAGCACACAGGCTGAGTGGGAAAACTTGAATGTGATCCAACAAAGAGCTGATGCTTTGGAGTCTTTACTGGAGCTATGTGCTCAGCTTTTGCAGCAAGAGAGGTTGGATGAACTTGCTGGAGTTCTAAGGCCATTTGGGGAGGAAGCAGTTTCCTCAAGAGAAACAGCAATCTGGCTTACAAAAAGTCTTATCTCTAATGCCAAATTTGACAGGGAGGCTAAAATCCAGTAAGAGAGCCTTGGAATTACAATTATCTGCTGCGATAAGAACTCCTTTAAGAAGTTTTTGTGTGCGGTTATCTTGTATTTAGCTTTTTTGTTCTTTGAACAGATAATGAAACAAAGAAATTTTCCCCAGTACTTTTGGCAAACACAAAATTCAAAATTTAATAAACAGATTTTCTCAATTGCTCATGAAATTCACCAGGATTAAAAAAAAATACATGTCAGATAAACTCGGCAAAAACATTATAATCTTCTACATGAATGAAACTTACAGACCCGTTTTTGGTATTTATGTTTTTTAATCTTTTGTTTTGATAGGGAAGTCCTCACAGCAGCTAACTGGTGTTAAATATAAGGACACTTCTACCAAAATCATTCTTGTAAATTAGTAAAGATTGTTTAGAAGAAAGACTACTAACTATAAACGTTAAGGAATGTCTATAACTTGATTATATTTGATTTGAGTATATGTCCAGGCAACCAATAGAAATCTCACTGAATACAATTAATTAGAAAAAAAATTTATTCTTTATTATCTTAATAGAATACGGTAGTTGTTAACAATATTACAACTTACTAATCTCAAACTCCTGGAACCAAATGTCACACACTTTCTTCGAAATTTTCTTCCAAGAGACATGGAGTATCAAATCTGCTCCATATGATATCCAGTATCTTTTGTGTGGGCTGCTTTGATGGATAAAATCTGTACAAATATCTAGTTGAAAAATATTATTTCTCAAATATATCTAATATATAACATACACATTTACGTACGAGCAGGGGCGGATCCAGCTTCTTTTTTCAGGGTGGGCAAAAAAAAATTTTTTTGGCGGGGGATGGGCAAAGATAGTTAGGATTGATAAAATTAGGACAAAAAATTTTTTTGAGAGAGGGCAAAATATCCAAAATATACAAAATATTTCAAAATCCTCTCTAAAACTTAAAAAAAAAAATTTTTTGAGGGTGGGCATTTGCCCCCCCTCACTACCATGGGGATCCGCCCATGCGTACGAGTCACCCTCATTATAAATCAGGATTTGTAGTCGGTGTTGTACCAGTCTAAGTGGAAGGTTTAGCTACAGTAAGGGTTGAAGGTCCAGTTGCAAATGACTGAGGAGGTGGTGGGTAGTAAAATAACAGAACGTATGATGGATATGGATAAGTAGCAATGACTCCTTGAGAAGATGGTGAAGGGTAATACGTGCACAGGTCTAACGACGGAAAGCAGGGGCCCACTACATGGGGTCGATTGCGTGAATCTTTTTTCTCTATTGGGTACTCTTAAGAGTCAAACTCTAAGTCAAATCTAGGGACTATTTGGAGAAATGATTTATGCAAAATGTGAGCGGGATTTATGCTAATTCCTGCCAGCCAATAGATCTCACGGCAGAATAAATCCTCCATTTTCCTCTATTTGTCATAAATCTTAGATCTATTAAATCCTGGAATTTGGTGGATATAAGGGATTTGGCTGAAGAAGCGCGTGAAAGGGAGGTTACCTTGATCGCAAGCGAGCTCCCATCACTATTTTTGAGAAAGCCATGGTTAGAGGAGATGACGACTGCAAAGATGAAGATGAATGGCGAGGAAGTCTGACTTCCAATGGGACAAGAAGGAACGCCGTCGAAGGAGGCGATGCTACAGGGGAACGTATTATAAAATTTACATATTATACATTAAAACTCTTCTAACAAAAAATGATTATTCATCTTGAGTTAATTAGATAATTGACAAAGAGCCTTGTTCGAGATGATAACAGTGATTGAGAAGCGGGATTTACGGGAAATGATGGTGTCACCAGTGTTGGAGGATTTCAGCGTGATTTCTTATGGGATTTCAGGGCTTTGATCGAAGATTTGAGCAGAACTTTGACCATACGAGGTAATTTCATTGTTATTATTAAAATAATTATTTTAAAACAATAAAAGTTCAAACATTTCAAAATGTGTTGTTGCCTTAATTTGCATGCTTTTCGCCTCGTTTTGGGTGTCAATTTCCTCGATTGAGTTTCTTTGGGTGAAATTACTGTCGATTTTGGACATTGTTAATGTTTAGAACACATCGATGTTGTTTGTTTTATGATCGGACATCATTTGTGCAACATCGTGCATCAATTTCCTTGATTTATGTGTCATTGTTTTGGGATCCAGCTGATCTCCTCGCGCTATATTAATTGAACAAATTCATGGCTATTTTTTGTATTGACGATGCTCCAAATGGAATGGAGGAGTCCATTTTGTGAACGAAGGTTGTCTGAGTAACGTCACTCATCAATTTGGGGTGTTGGTCATTTGTTTTGATCAATCTCATTTGATTTGACTGTGAGGGGGTCCCTCTTAGTTTAATTAGATTCTCTGATCGCAACGGCACAGTCTGTTTGGCGATTAGAGGTCGTTTGACCCTTCAAGTGCATTACAACACTAATTTTGCCCCTTTTTGTGCATATTTTTATTTAGGGATCAACAACCTACTATAAGATTTCAAGGATGAGTGCAAACTATTAGTATATTCCTATAAAAATATGCACACTAATGGCTGATGGGTGGACATATGTGTTGGTGGAAGTTTTGAAGAGGGGTTTTTAAAAGAGTTAATCTAGTTTGGGAAACTTGAGTTTTAAATTCATAGTTTCAAAATCGAATGCCTCATTATAAATGATATATTTCCCCTTAAGGCAAATACATCGTTTGCTAATGGGTCAGGTGATGAAACTGAAAGTTGTCATCCTGATTATAGTAGTTAAATTCAAATAAGAATCACGTACAATCCCGAAGGGTTGAAATGAGATTCTATCAATATTCAACAACTATTATCAGGATGAGAGATCACTAATTTCATATGCCATATCACAATAGTGAATAATATATCCCTCCAAGGAGAGAAAATATCACCCATTATTGATCGATGGGATATGATGATAATGATCATTTTTTACTTCATTTTTCAAAAGAAGATTAATTTTGAGTTTTGAAAATTGATTTTGAAAAAGGTGGATGTGAATTCTAAATCTCCTATGAGCTCAATCCCTCGTAAGTAATTACATCATAGGAAATTAGAGTTTCCTATAAAAAACTCTTGATTAAAATAATGACAAATTTTTTCTTAGAGATTTTTTAGGAGTGAAATCAAAGAAGCTGGATTGGGAATTTCAATAGGGATTGGAGTAAGATTGAGCTCAAATATGGAGGGTTAACCCCAGAGACATGTCTTATCAATGTGCAATTGATATACTCTGAATAAGGGGTCATTTGATTGGGTTTTGAAGTGTTTGAAAAATCACTGAAAAAGACTCACAAAACCTAAGCCTTTAGCCCTAGATTTTGGTATGGATTTTCTAAATTTAAATTAGATTCTAGATTTAAGTGCATGAATTTGGATTATCTAGATCATTGATAATCACTTAAATGATCATTAATGATTTAGATAAGATTGGAGTTGGATGAGAGGTTAAAATGATTGAGTTTGGGCTGACTGAAGGTTAGAATTGTCCTTGAAGTTTAAACTAATAATATATCCATCATATAGGGTTGAAGATCAGGTGATGGGGAAGATAATGCGCCCACCACCATGATGGAAACTGGATGGTCATATGACATGGAAGATAATATGCTCATCATAAATAATCGAGGATGACCATAAGATGGGGAAGATAATATGCCCATCATAGAGGGTTGAAAATCAGGTCATGGATAAGATAATGTGCCCACCAATATGATCAAAACTAGATAATCATACGACAGAGAAGATAATATGCCCATCATAGAGGGTCAAAAATCAGGTGACGGGGAAGATAATGCTCCCACCACCATGATCAAAACTGGATGGTCATATGACGGGAAAGATAATACGTCCATTATAGAGGATTGAGGATGACCATATGATGGGAAAGATAATATGCCCATCATAGAGGGTCAAAGATTAGGTGATGGGGTATATAATGCGCCCACCATCATGATCGAAGCTGGATGGTCATATTAAGGGGAAGATAATACGCCCATCATAAAGAACTAAGGATGACCATATGATGTAGAAGATAATGTGCCCATCATAAAGGGTCAAAGATCAGGTGATGGGGAAGATATTTCACCCACCACCATGATGGAAATTGGATGGTCATATGATGGGGAAGATAATACGACCATCATAGAGGACTGAGGATGACCATATGATGGGGAAGATAATACGACCATCATAAAGTTTCAAAGATCAGGTGATGGGTAAGATAATGTGCCCACCACTATGATCAAAACTAGAGTGAAACTAGGATGGAGCCATGAGGTGCATACTCCATCAATAGTGGACGTAACCCCAAGGGAAGGGAGGACCCAATTCTAAGGAGAAGGAGAGTGAGCTTGAATATTGAGAAGTACAAGAGAGCATGTTGATTTGATTTAAACTTAAGAAAAAGAAAATTTTTATTGATTCATAAATTGAGCTACATCAATCATATTATTTCTTGAGAAAACACTCATTGATAGGCAACATTGGGTGGTTTCTCTTATAATCCACTAGCTGATACGAGCCTCCTTCGTAGACAGTCTCTACAATAAAGGGTCATTCCTAAGTTGGTTCAAACTATCCACCAATCTTTTGGTAGGTTAGGATAGGCCTCCGAAGAACCAAGATCAAGTCTCTTACTTAGAAGGTTGTAGGTCGCACTAACTTATCATGATCTTGAACCATTCGGTCATTATGCAACTCTAGACTCTGCTGAGCTTGGAGATGATGCTCTTCAAGGCCTTCGAGTTCTTCTAGCTGGAGTTTTGCATTTTGCTCAGTTATGATTTGATTTTGGATTGCAACTCTGAGTGAAGGAGTTTGTACCTCCAAGGGGTGTATTGCCTCAAACCAATATACTAGTGCAAATGGTGTGGATTGGGTCGGAATTCTATAAGTGGTACAATAGACCCCCAAAGCTTCCACCAATTGCTCATCCCATTGTCATTTATTATTATTAAGGGTCTTCTTGATAATCTGCACCAAATTCTTATTGAAGGCCTCCGTCAACCCATTAACCCGGGATAATAAATTGTTAAGTATCTCTAATCAATGTTATTGCGTCTTACAAAACTATTAATTTTTGTAGACTTGAATGCGGACCCATTATCAGATATAATTCTATAAGGTACGCG